ACAACACCGCTAAGCAGCACTTTTCTCTTCCTAGTTTTCAAAACAAATTTGAAAACCACTAAGGTATACTTTTAATTTAAGTTTAATTAAAGTCCTCATTTAATCGTACCAAAACATATATTTAACACTATGTAAATAGCCCCAAAATTGAAAGAAAAAAGTTTTTTTTTTCCCAAGTACCTTAATAATCACAATTCTAAAATATATTCTAGCAAGTTAGCCTACCACAAACACATGCTACTGAAATTCTGCAGCCTTGAGCATGCATGCACAGTGAATGTGGCAACACTGCTTTACATATCCACAGAGAATCTTCAAAGCCTCCTGATAAACGGCACATTTTGAAGAAGTACTGAAAGATGTAACTGGTATAGTGCACAGGTACAGTCTCAGAGACCAAAGAGTAAATAAACTACTGCCATTTTCATGTTAACAATTAGAATGTCAAAATACCTATAACAAAATATTTGAGGCACAAAAGTTAGAAAGATCTATCAGTAGCTAATCAAACTTGTTTTCATTGCACGAATTTAATCTAGGTTTAACTAAGATACTATTTCAGAATGAACAAGCATCACCTAACACACAGTTCTTAGTAATTTCAAAAACATTATTTTACATATGTAACTAGAAAACTTAGCAATGGATTAAATGCCTTAGTTTTCATCCCCTGAGATTTAGATCCCAATGCCAAAAAGACAGCAATTGACTGCTTAGCAGAAGAATCCTTACATTATGGAAGCAGTAAGAGTAGGCAGGTTTGCATCTCTCTTTCTTCATTGTATCTCGTACACAGGGTTCTGCTGTTCCGTGTGTAGGCATAAGCGCTACTACAGAAACCAATAACTGAACACCAAACCACAAAGTGTCAAATATATGGTCGTAATATATATATAGATGCTACTAACTGTGAATATTGCTATTTGCTACTTCTAAATAGAAGCTATGTGAATACTAAACTGTTTATTTGAAGCTGCACAGGGAAAAATATATTTTATTCTCCCATTGAGACATCAAGAATCTATTCACCACACTAACAGCTGTTTAATGGCCTTCAGGCACAGGACATGATTCTGCAGCCTTGGCTTAGCCAGAACCCTCAATATGGGCAATCTATTTGGCATAAAAAGAGCTGCAGAATCAGGCATATTCAGAGTTTCTCTGCAACAAAACAAACAATACATACACAAACTCAGAGCAACTCAACAGATTTTTTTCTAACATTTGTTCTGTATCTTACAGGTACTCCTGAAAAGACCCAGGTTCTCTCCTTCTGTGTAGGTGTATGTAAATCATACGCACATGCACAAAGGAGAAAGGCGTGTATAAAGTGCACACTGAAAGGCCAGCTAATATGTTAAACTACTGCAGTGCAAATCAGAAGTGGAGAATAAAAGGAGCCTCAGGACTCCTAAATATCTGTATGCTGTCAAGGATTAATCAATAATCAAAAGACCTGAATGACAAGGTACTGTACCAGCATCACGCAAGTTCCCCACCACCAAATCAATGTATCTGTGTGAGCAACAACCCTCCGGTTCGAAAATGTGCATTTCTTCAGAAGCAGGAAGCCTCTATTGCTAGCTTCCATCACATCTCTCAGTTGGATAAGGTGATTAAATTAAATGGAAGCAGAATTTTCTTAAATAATTTAATAGGCTGGACTAATACAGAACTTAGTTCAGAGTAGGATGCCACAGCTCTGCATATTACAAAAATTACCCATGCGGAGGCAAGAATTTCCTGAACAAGCATCTCTGATGTTGCAGCCTACTGTCAGTCCTTTTTCTCCGCTCACAGGACAATAGTTCCTTATAGGCTTAGGGGCCAATCAACATCTGCTTTGCAAAGACACATGACAAGTGAGCATATTCTAATGTGTGTATACACATATCGAGAGCACACACACAGATGATTATTAAAAAAATAAAGAGAAGCCTTCTGTTCAGATGCTGGAGTAAATATTCCAGTTTTCTCTTTCAAAAAGCAATCAATTTCTGTATTAACGATACAACACACATGGAGATTGACATGTGGGAATTAAAAATAAATAATGTACAGAACCAATTGTATTCTGCACGCTAATGGTAACTATTTTTTTACACAACCCATTTTATACATCAAAAAATATTCATTTAAAATCTAAAATTTTTTATCTCTATCTTTTGCTGGTTAAATGAAAAAATCGTAATATAAAAAACAATGATGTCTTGCCTCTATCACAGTTATTTTGAGGAAAAATAATTTTAAAAATAATCAAAGAAATTGTGCTCTTGCCAGACTATTCTTTCTAAACTGCATGCCAATCCTTACAGTCCAAAAAAAAAAAAAAATAGAGAAAAAGAAAAAAGAAATCTGTAAGAGAGGCTATAACGCTATAACCCATAAATATAAGGAAGTATTTCTAAGGGTCATACTGAGGACATAAATTAATTTACTCTCACTCCTCCAATAAAAATAAAATACTTTAAACAATCTCTGCCATGAAAAAACAGCACCTTGAACTAGCATGTACAATGTCTGACAACGGTTTTCTTAGCTTTTAAAGCCACAAATTCTGAACTACCTGTTTAAAAGGAGATGATGCAAATATTTTTAGAGTAATTACGAAAGGTTATGCATACGAGGCCTCATTACATTATGGCTTCCAGTGACCCTTTTACCATTGCAAATTTTATAAAAGGCAAAAATTAACACACACACGTAGACAAAAATCCTATTTCCTTGGAAGAAAAAGAAAGGAAAATGGAATAAAAACTAAAAACATGACAGGAATGATCTTCTGGAAGTAGTCAAACACGCTCATACAGCACATCTAAGGTTTCTATTTTTTTTTTTTTTTTTAAGAATTAATACACCATTTGCAATATTAAGCGGTGATATTTCCAGATTCTACTCATTACTTTATGGAAAAACGCAGCCGTCGGAGGACCCCAAAAGCATACACCTGCATTTGTTCCTGTCAGAACTTACTGTTAAAAGCTGTTAAAAGATTTAACAGTTCTTAATAGAAAGATCTTGTTGAAGGGAAAAGAAACCCATAAAATTCTAATGCACTACTCCATTTAAAACAATTCACTTTCCTACTGAGTATTGAAGCCTAATCTCACACTTCTGTAGAAAAATGAGATCAACTCCCGATGCTTCTTGAAGTATTCTAACCACAATTCAAACCCAAAAGCACGTTTTCTCCCGAATATCTGGATTTGTTGCAGAGCTGAAACAAACACAACCTCTGGCAGAGCGGCTCCTTCGTCCCTTCTTTGTATAATACACGGCATTTTCTCACCTACAGCAGCTCACATGCAAACACGGTCTTTTCAAGAGGCATGCACAGGTTAGGCATCGAGCTAACAGAAATGCAACGAAACTACTATTTGGTTTCTTTTTTTTTTAATAAAAATCCAATCCCTCGCATAACACCCGTAAACTGCAACATTACAAAACCTTTAGGTCTGTCAGGGTTTTTTTGGTTGTTGGTTTTTTTTTTTTTGTAAGAAGGCGCGAGCGCAACCCGAGAACCCGAACCCTCGTCCAAAAGCGCTGCTATTACGAGGCACTTTCCCTACCGCCTCTAATTAGAATTAAAAGAAAATCTAAAAGAAGCAAGAAGTATAGGTAAGTAGATAAAGGGATGGATCGGTGCGCAGGAGAAGCAGGCGGCGCGGGCGGGCCGGGGGGCGGGGGAAGGTGCCGGCGCGGCGCTGGCGGTGCCCCGGTGCCCCCCGGTGCCGGCGGTGTTTGCGGCGGGGGCTCCTGTGCCTGCGCCGCTCCAGCGCCTCTATTTACATCAGCGGCGCGAGGTGCCCAATGGCGCGCGCGGAGCCAATCAGATGGCAGATTAGATGTCAACTCGGAGGCAGCTGTCGGGAGACGGTTGCAGCCAGTTTACCTCCACAATTCAAATTCCCAACCTGGCGGGCGGAGGAGACCCGGACGCTCCTCCAAGGGTCGCGCCCGGCAGCCGGCATTCCTCCCGCGCCGTGCCGCGCCGCCCCGGAAAGGCGCTGCGCCGCACCCGCCGCCCCGCGATCATCGCGCCTGCCTATCGATCGGATCCATCCATCCATCGATCGCCGGAGTTACCGGGGCTGGGGCAAAGGAGTGCGGGAGGGAGCGGGGGCGGCGGCCTGCCCCGGTGCCCGCGCCCCTTCGCTGACGCCAAGGACTTTTCCCTCTTTTTTTT